TGAGCTTGTGCAGCAGGCAGCGAAACCACTGAGCTAAATCCCCGGCCCTTTTTCCTTTTTTTTTTTTTTTTTTTTAATGTGGGAGAGGTCTCCTGGAAATTTTCCAAGAGCATCTCTAAAGTCCAAAACTCCATCATGGGGAAGTTCATCCACTTCTGCATTGATGGTTCTCCATTAAGTCACTCAGTCCTACCCCCAAAGCATGGTTGCGTAGCTTCCAGTGACTAGGAAATCAACAGACTGGCCCACTGCAACCCATGGATTCATAGAACCATAGAGTTAGAGACGAAAGTACCTTAGTGATCCTTGGTCCCAACTCTTACCCTACACAGGGGTTCAGAGAAGTTGAGGTGAGGTGACCGAGTCAAACAGCAAAGCTCTGGTCTCTAGCTCATCTCTCTTCCATGTTCTTTGCCTTTCCACCTACCTCCTATGCACCTACCCACCAGAGTTCATTTTCTTTAGAACCTGTTTCCTCTGGTTCCATTTGTTCTGAATTAATGTCTGGCCTTTCGGAAATCCAAGCACCTTTCTCTGGCAAAGACATGTCCTTCTTTGCTTCAGTCATAATCTTCACTAGGAGGTTTGCATTTACCATGGATGTATTTACCCCCATTTTCTATTGCAATATCTGGGGCAGGCCAAAGAAAGCGTGGCAACTTCCTGCATATATAATATTATGCATTTATTCCCAGCTGCTTTCTAAACTGATATGTAGGGGTTTTTTTTTTAAATTGGCTTCGTTCACTTAGCAGTGTGCACTTAAGTTCCCTCCATATCTTTCCATGGATAAATCATTTCTCTGTAGCGCTGAATAATTCTCCATTGTCTGGATACACCACAGTTCATTCACCTCCTGAAGTGTTAGTTGAATGGGCAAAAAATAGTCCAGGTTCTTGTGCACCACAGGGAAAGAACTGCCAAGAGTACACCTCATGTATGTAGTAAGTAGCTACATTTATTGAAAATCCTGGGGGCCCGGGATTTAGCTCAGTGGTTTCGCCACCTGCTGTGCAAGCACAAGGACCCGAGTTTGATCCCCCATACCAAAAAAAAAAAAAAGATGAAAATCATGGGATAGTAGCAGCAGGAACAGGCAGAAAGACAAAGAAAAAGGAGAAGGAAGAGGAACTCAAGGTCATAGGTGAAGCTGCTGCTGGTGGTGGTGAAGTTCTCATGAAGCAGTTCGTGGTGGAGTTGACATTGTGCAAGTCAGTTTACTTGGGGCTGGTGTGAGGCACTCTGGGTATTTCAGGCTTCCAGTATTTAAAGGGGCAGACACCTCCAACTCCAGGTGCCTCCCAAGGTGGTCAGACACCCTCTAACTCCTTGTGCCTCCCATTCTGTCTCACTGGTGTCAATGATCTGCCACTTCGGGCAACGTGGCCTCCTAACCTTAAACATGGTGGTGTTATGGTTATAGTTGAATAGAGGGAAGGGAGTGGCTCCCTCGACTTTCCTGGACAGGTTTTCTAACTGTACAAGTAGGACAGTGTGATTTCTTCCAACGTTTTGGAAATTACAGATAAGGACGCTATAAATGCCCATGTGCAGAATTTTGTGTGGATATAGTAAGTTTTCAATACCTTTGTGTAAATACCAAGGAGGGTAATTGCTGAGACACATGGAAAGAGTATGATTAGTTATATAAGAAACTCCTTCCAAAGTGGCTGTACCATTTTGCATTCCCACTTGTAAGTAGCAAATGAGTTTCGTTTCTCCACATTCTTGCCAGCATTTTGTGTTGTCATTGTTCTAGATATTGGACATTCTAATAACTCTGTAGTGGTATCTAATATTGTTTTAATTTGTACATGATGACATAAAATGTGGAGTGTCTTTGTTTTTTTTGGTACTGGGGATTGATCTCGGGACCTTGTGCTTGCAAGGAAGGCTCAGGAACCACTGAGCTAAATCCCCGGCCCTGGAGTGTTTTTTTATATGCTTCATGTCATTCATATATATTTTTTTGCTGAGGTGTCTTTGGCCTACTTTCTAGAGGAATTACTTCTTTTATTATTGAGTCTAAATGTTCTTTGTATATTTCAGATAATGTACACCCACAGATTTCATTGTCAGAGTGCTAATGTAAATGAAATTGGTTTTTTTCCTCTTATTCATTGCTGGTATTTAAGAATGACCGACTTTTATATTTTAACCTTTTACCTTGTAACACTGTTATAACTGCTTCTTCATTCCTTGAATTTTTTGTTGATTCTTTCAGGTTTTCATTATAAACAATGATGTTATCCATTATTTCTTCTTCACCAATCTGTACATCTTTTATATCCTTTTCCTGTCTTATGGCATTATATGATTCAATGTTGAAAAGCAGTTGAGAGTGATGATATGCTTGCCTTGTTCCTGATCTGAGAAAGTTGCAAGTTTCTCACCATTGAGTATGAGATTTGCTGTAGAGGTTTTGTGGGGGAGGTGTGGCACCAGAGATTAAATCCAGGGCCTTACACATGCTGAGCAAGTGCTCTAGCACTAAGATTCATCCCTAGCCCAGAAGTAGGTTGTTTTGTTTTTGTACATTTTCTTTACCTAGACGAAGCTCTCCTCTATTCATAGTTCCCTGGAGGTTTTATAATGAAAAGGTATAGATTTCTCACCCTTTTTCTGCATCTATTGATATGATCATTTTTTTTTTAATTTCAGGTTTTTTGAAATCAGTTCTTGCTGCGTAGTTCAGACTGGCCTTAAACTTGTGATTCTCCTGCCTCACCCTCCCAAGTACTGGGACTAGAGGTGTGCCCCACCATGCCTGGCTAGATATTCCCTTACTCTGTTGATGTGATGTATTACATTAATTGTTTTCAATGTTGACCCAGCCTTGCATACGTGGGATAAATCCTACTTGATAATGTATAACCCTTTTCATACATTGCTGGGATTTGTAATATTGTTAAAGATTTTGCATCTATGTTCATGACCAGTATTGGTCTGTAGTGTTCTTTTAATGTTGGTCTGGTTTTGACATTGAAGTGATCTTGTCCTCATAGATCTTCCTGGATCTGTAACTTGATGTGTGGTATTAATTGGGGTAAATTCTCAGCCACTGTTATTTCAAGTATTTCTGTTCCTTTCCCTCTTCTCTTTCTGGTATCCTATCACGCATATGTAATATAAAGACACTTTTTATAATTACCGCAGTTCTTGGATTGTTCCCCAACCCCACCCCGGTTTTTGTGTTCTTCAGTTTTGAAATTTTCTATTGTGATGATCTCAAACTCAAAAATTCTTTCCTCAACTTTGTCTAGCTACTAATAAGTTTATTGAAGATGTCCTTCATTTGTGGCATTGTATGTTCTTTCTAGCACTTCTTTTTGGTCCTTTCGTAGCATTTCCAACTCTCTCCTGCCATTGTCCATTTGTTCTAGCATGCACTCTATTTTATCCATTATCTTTAGCATATTAATCACAAGTGTTTGAAATTCTTGCCCTCTTAGATAACAATTAGAAATGCTCCAAAGAATGATGTTTATTTGGGAATAGAATAGCATTGCAATGGGAATACAAATGCCAAAATCAACTGTGAGCATATTCAAAGAGGTTAGGCAAGAGAAAGTTTGATTTGCTTTTTAGGCAAAAGGACTTTATCTTCCCTTCCAAAACTAGACCACAACAAAGGAGAAGAGTTTTCACAGATAAAAATGAAGATTACTAAAATAGTTTTGAAACAATAATCCTTGGCCCCAAGAATTAATAACAAGGGTGGTGCAGCTCAACGTTGAATTGCAAGCAATCTGCAAGGGAGATGTCCTTGCAGTAGTATTTTTTGTATAAGGTTATTGCAGCCTTTGCACAAGGCTGTGGATTTGGTGGTCTTTCATATAATAATTACTATCAGGCAATAGTATATAAAAATCTCCCTTCCATAACCTTGCAGCTTTGTTAGGATTGGCACAAGTGACTCCATGTCAACTCCAACAACTTTCATATTCCCTACATGGTCATTGTAACGTCTTCCTGATATCTGATTCTGATACTTGCTCTATCTCTTTAAACTGTGGTTTTGGCCTTTTGGTATGCCTGGTAATTTTTATTTTTTGATAGCTGCACACCATGTACTTTTCATAAAGAATTTATGTATGGAGACCTTTAGTAATGAGGTGGTAAAATGTAGGGGGAGGAAATCTTTTATAGTTCCAGGACTTGGTCTTCTGTGAGCAAGTCTCTGGACAATACCTTCACAAGTGCTTCTCAGTTTTCTCCCCCTTAGATAGGAAAGGATGGTTACAGGTAGCTGCAGTTGGGTATTTCCTTTCTTCTAGGTCATTTAGACTCAGGTAAAACCCTTATGGGTTAGAATCTGGTTAACTAGTTTCTCCGAGAACAGTCTATTTAAGAAGTGGAGTGTTGTGATGCATTCCAAAATTCCCTTTTCCCTCTCCCTGCCAGGCAATTAGGGGACTTTTCTCCAATATACACTGTGAAAACTTGGTCAAGCTCATGGATGTAAAACTCAGAAAAATGTAGGTGCTCCTTGTCCTCAATGACTTGGGCGCCTCTGGCGGTTTTCATCACTCAGCCTTGTTCATACTGAGCCTTAAGCACTTCATCATTTACAGTGCAGGTTTTCCTACCTTGCCACTGGTTCCTTCTGAGGTTTCTGCTCCTAAGTTATGATCCCCTGTACTCACCACTCAGTCTCTCCAATTTTGAGGGCAGCAGTTTGCCTTGTGACCTCATTTCTCTAATGGATTTAAGACTTGTTGATTTTTCAGTTTGTTCAGTTGTTTACTTGTTTGTAGGATGGAGTGGCAACTTCCAAGCTTCTTAAATGCCAAACTGGAAACAAAACATTAAACTGTAATCTTTAGCCAGGTGTGGTGGTACACACCTATAATCCCAGCACTGGGGATGTAGCTCAGTGCAAAGGCCCTGGGTTCAATCCCCACTACTGCAATGAAAAAAAAAAAGTTGTAGTCTTTATAAGAAAAAAAGTTTAACCATTTCAGTATATCTTGTAGCTTCATACACACAAACAAGAAACATATTAAAAAAAATATTTATTAATTTTTACACCTGCTGGGTACCACAAGACTATTAATACTATAACTCACTGAATGTACAATAAATGTTCACATTTAAATAACAGGATAGAGTCAACATTTTCAACCAATGAGTCAGCTTTAGCATCTCATGAAGTGCTTTTTTTAGTCTTAGATATCTTAAGAGTTTTTTGAAAGGATAATTCCAGGTCAGAAAATAATCCAAGATCAAAACAAAAAGTTTTTCCAGAAGAACAGGAATTTTACATGATGAAATGTCTGTTTCTCTGGACACAAATCAAACAATAATGTAAAGTCTATATTCAATCCACTCCATAATATTCACATTGCACTGAATGAAGTCTACAGTGTCAATGTGTCTTAGGAGAGGCCATAATATAAACATTGACTACACGTGTTTCCCAAATTGAGTCTTCAGAGGGATGATGCTCTTCCATCTATTCAAATCCAAGCCCTTTTGAGAATCCTTTACCTTGGAATGAATGTGCACGATCCCTGATCCTAACTCGGTATTATTTGGCTGGACTAGCACTGCATCTCTCATTGGTGATATGTAAGTTAGCCTTAGAGTCTTCAATGATTCCACAGGAGGACCAAAGAAGAAGGAGGAGGAAAACACTTAGAAGGGAATGAGACACTCTGTCTTCAACATTTCCCTCTCTGTATTCTAAAACTTGAAATAACTGGCATAAAACGAACATTCCACTTAGTGATAGATTTTTATTTTAATCAATAAATTATTCCTGAGAAGAGGGGAAGAATCCTTGCTGGTTCAAATTAAAAAGAACCCAACAGGGCCAAATTTAAGTTACGAGAACTAAAACTGGACCTTTGGGAAAGTCTAGCATCCTTCACCCTACAAGTCTTTCTCAACTGGACACTAGGTTATTTACAATCAGCATTTTGTGGGACCTTCGGAACCACCCTCTGCATTCTGTGACTCAGGGCCAATATTTTCTGTTGAAAATATTGATGTTACCTCTTTGTCACCAAAGATATAGAATCCATTTTCAATTTCTGCACACTTTTGAGGTAACTTTTTCAAGTTCTCTTAGTGCCCCAATTTTCAGAGATAACCACAAAAACGAGGTCTCAAAATTAAAGTGCAAGATCTACTTATTAGTAAAGTTATTCCAAAAGAATTATTTACTTTTCAGAAAGGTATCTTTATCATAAAGAAGCTAATACACTTCTTAATTCATAGAACCAGTTTTTGCTCAGGAAGGTAAACAAAACAAATGAATTAATTTCATCTGAAGTGAACGTTAAGTCTTTCTGATCTGGAGTGATAAACTCACTATGCAATAATTATTCTAAAAATGCACATCACAAAAGCTGTTAAATATATACTGACTTTTGAAATGTTTTATGTGTGTACAATTTGTACAATTGGAATGTTCAGTAAAAAGAAGGGAAGTATTTTTCCTCACTGGATTCATAGCAAACAAGATTCCCAAACAGGAACACATATAAGACAAACTATCATCACAGCAGAATGTTTCCTCTCCCAACTGACACTATAATATTCATATAGACTGGAGAGCTTACAGATCCTGTACTGTACTATATAAATGGTCCCCACATTTTCCCCCTAAGTGTGAAGTTGGTCATCTTACAAAAAGGTCCAGATGAGTTACAATATGTTTAAAGTTAAAAGTGTTTAGAAATAAGGAAGGCCACCTTTCCATTCAACTTTAAAGAATGTTCATTTTAAGACAGCATTAAAAGTACTAAAATACACTGAATGCTGTAAGAATCAATGTAGGGGCTGAAGTTATACCTCAGTGGTAGAGCATGTATGAGGCTTGGTTGTTTTTTTTGTTTTGTTTTGTTTTGTTTTGTTTGTACCAGGGATCGAACTTGGGACCTTGCGCTTGGCAAGGCAGGTGCTGGAACCACTGAGCTAAATCCCTGGCCCAGGCTTGGTTTTGATCCCCATCATCACATATGCACACACGTGCACGCACACACACACACATACACACAAAGGAGGATGAGGAAGAAGAGGAGTTAAAGGTATAGTTGGTAAGCACAAATAGGTCAAGATTTCAGTGTGTGTGTGTGTGTGTGTGTGTGTGTACACTAGTATTTCCTTCTGAATACAACTACAATCAGAGAATGGGAAGAAAAGCTTAAATGTAGAGGTTTAAATCTGCTGATATCAACCTTTTCTCTTTCGGGAGTCTATCCTTGTGGAGTAATAAAGTGAGAACTATCAGAGCATGAGGTTTTGCCCAAATCTGCTGAAGGCCATCATCTGTGCAAAGCACTACTGACTTTCCTAGCAACAGTTTTGCAAAACAGAAAAAAATTTTAAAAATCATGGTGGCGCCTTTATAGTCCTAGCTGCTTGGGAGGCTGAGCCAGAAAGATCCCTTGAGCCCAAAAGTTCAGAGCCATCCTGGGCAACATAGCAAAACTCTATCTCAACAACAACAACAAAAAATCAACAATCTGAAATTTTTAAATGTCAGTTTTTCCTTCAGAACGCCTCTGTCAAACTTTTTTTTTTTGGTACCGGGGATCGAACTCAGGTCCTTGTGCTTGCACAGCAGGGGGTGAAACCACTGAGCTAAATCCCCAGCCTCTGTCAAACTTTTGTCTCATTTTTATTTCCTTATCCAGTAAACTTCTCAAACTCACAAGATAAAGCAATGCTGACCTAATTCATGTTCATGAAATGCCCCTTCTGCTTTGGTGCCAGGGCTAGAATTCTGATGTCCAATGACCATAGACATGGCACATCCCATCTCCACCTTTGGTATGAACACAATATACCACTTAGTATTTCCACAAAGGGAAAGTAAGGCTTATTAGTGAGTTAAAAAACCAACTCAAGAGCAAACCAAAGTTTCTCCATCTTGAAATCTACCTTTCCCTGAAAGATTTCCATTTTGTGGCAGAAACCCTGGGGTTTAAAGAGTCAGTCTGATAAAGATGGCCTTGGCAAAACCAACCCTGTTGTATGTAAAGGTGTCAACTGTAGTTTCTAGACTCTTGAGTGAATAACAAATTTTAAAAAAGAGGTCTAAGTGTTAGAAGCTTCAGACTTACAAATGAAAACAGACATGACATGAGTGCAGACTGTAGCTCCAGGACAGAAGCTACGGTTTACTGATGTGGACTTCGCTGCTCCCATTCCCGTTGGTGGTAGTCGTGATGATGTACTGCGTGGTCTGCTGTTGACTGTTGGTCTGGGGGTCCAGGGAGTCACTATGTGCAGATGGCTGAACCTGGACTCCACTGGGGAGAGCAGAAGTTTGCTTTTCTTCCAATTCTGGTTGACTTTCTGACAACACATAATGACCCTAAAGCAGGAAAAGAAGGATCTTCAAAAATCTGGGGCCTAAAAGGGAGGGTGGGAGTACAGGAGGAGGGAATACCAAAGAAATGTTACATAGGGACCCGAAATAGGCACCTATGAGAGATGCTTTACCTCTGTCCTGTACAGCATGAATCAGTCACAGTAACTGGCTACAAAGGTTAATAATTCAAGGGCTCATATTAGCTGTATTACCAAATCACAGTGAAGAACTTTAGGTCCAGAAATTTGCATCATGGTAGTAACCTACCAGCCAAAAATACAGTATGTGCTTTTATAGTGTTAAGAATTTAGAAATCATACCTGAATTTAGAAATGATATATGTCAATCAAAAGTTTAGATTAATACAAAATAGATCAAAGAGAGAAAGTTTCCTTAAAGAGGCAGTGTGGCCCTTAAGACAGTTAATCAAGATTAATGGTCCCAGGGGCCAGGGATTTAGCTCAGTGGTTTCACTGCCTGCTGCGCAAGCACAAGGACCCGAGTTGGATCCCTGGTACCAAAAATAAATAAATAAATAGTCCCAAGATTTAAAACTTTGAAGACCAGAAAATTAAAAATAATACTAAACGGGTCCAAAAGTTTTATTTTGCCAAGCAAGGATATTTTAAATGTGCTACCATCAAATATGCATCTTAACACTCAAGAGCATAGGAAGGGAAATGAAGTGTCAGTCAGGAGTAGACTACTTGTCTGGCATGTATGAGACCTATGTTTGATCCCCTACACCATGCAAAAGGGGGGATAAAAAAGCTCAGGAAGAGCACAGCCTCAGAATGAAGTCCCTTGCGCTGAGTAAATTTAAAGGAATTCTCATGTTTTCCTCATTTTTTTCTCTGATCATAAAAACTTCTTCACAGACCTATAAGCTGGTTATTTCATATGTTAACATTTTTAAAGAAAGAATGTGTCTGTCAGAAGGGAGACTGGTCATCTATAGAAGCAGGATGCTATGGTTTGAATAAGTTTTCCCCAAGGCCCTGGGCTGAAAGCTTGGTTTCTATGGTGGTACTATCAAGAGATGTTAGTGTGTAAGTGGGGCCCCTGCCGGGATTCCTGGGCCCCTCCTCTTCCTTTCTGTGCTTCCTGGCAGATAAAGCGAACAGTCTTCTCTGCCATGTGCTCCACCATGATATGCACCTTGTCAGAACAAGGCCACTGGATTATGAACTGGAACCAATAAAACTGTAAGCTAGATAGACCTTTTATAAGTTACACAGGGAGAAAAGCAGTCACAGAGGGAAACTCAGATGATGGCCTTTGTAAGTACTGTCCAGAAAAAAAGGCCACAGCCAAATACTCATTTGATTTATCTGGGGCCACACATTCTGAAGTCTTGCCTACCAAGCAGTTTTCTGATCATGATTTAGTTCCCATGTAGATCTTCTTGTAGTGGGGAGGGGATTCTCAATCTAGGATCCACTGATCCCTAAGGGATCCATAGGTGGGCTGCAGAGAATCCATGCTCCCCAAAATGTACATGAAAGCTGTGCTTGTGTATATTGTGCAGGAAGCAGAAAACATCCTGGGCTAGACTCAGGTTCTCAAATGAGTTCCTGGACAAACAACAAACATACAAACGCATTCATAGTTAATAGGTCTTCCCGGGAACAGGTAAGGCACTGACCATGCCAATGGGACTGTTCCAATGACAATTTAACAGTGTCACTCTGGATTTGCACATCTCTCCTACTTTTAGTTCATATGATCTGGTGTGCTGAGAAATGAGTAAGCTCTCAGTATGCTCTCTTTGGAAATAAGGTTTTTGAAGCCACTAGGCTATTCTGCTACCCCTTGAGGCCTCCTGGGAAATAATCTTCCCCTGGGAACATCCCAACATCCCTAGCCACTTAAGAGTATTGTTCTGTTTTCCTCCCAGCTTCAATAAGGTATAATTGACAAAAAGTGTATGTATTTATGGTGTACAACATGATGATTTGATATATGATCCATTATGGTAGGAATATTTAAGATCTATTCTCTTAGCAATTTTTGTGCATACAATACATTATCAGCTATAGTCACTATGCTGTACATGAGATTTTCAGAACTCATTCATCTAAGACAATTTTTCTTTTCTTTTTCTGCTACTGGGGATGGAACCCAGAGCCTCATGCATGCTGAGCACATGCTCCCCACTCAAAGAGTATTTTTCTTAATTTAAATTTATATACTCTGTCTTCTAAAAACTTAGAGGCAGGTCACAACAAACCTGTGAAGATAAAAACATAAGCAGCAGATAGAGTCAACATTGTATCTTCCAAAGTTAAATATGACAAGATAATTTATAGCAACATTTTTCATCTTGGAGTGGGTGAATTGTTTAAAATAGCTCTATAATTGAATCACTGTATTATTCTTTCCCAGACAAGTTAAGGACCAATAATCTTGAGGACTCTAATATTTCCAAGAAGCACATAAAAAGGTGATCATATACAGGTGGATCTGGGATGCTGGTTGTAGTTACTAGTTGAACAGGTAAGCCTCCAAAAAAAGGATAAAGACTCAGCTTTCAAACAAACTTCTATGTAAGAAACCAGAAAATAGACCAATCACTAAAACCAAACTGTAACAAGGGTTCCAACACAGCACCAGCACATGGGCAGGGTAGCTTACCGGAGCAACCGTCTTCACTTGGCCAGAAGTGACAGGAGCTGCCACGCCACTGTCTGTAATCACAAACTGCCCGGGAGGAAGGGTCATCATTTGAATCTCGGATGCTGGAAAACAGGAAATACATAAAGTTCAGTGATCTAGGACTTTTAATATAAGTTCTAGAAACAAGTAGATGTTCCTCTTCTCATACAATGGTGTTACATCCCAATAAACCCACTGTTAAATCAAAAATATCATAAGTCCAAAATAAAAAGAAGTTATTCTGCCTTTCCTACTCAAAGTGTATCTCAAAGTAATCTCATAGCTAAGGGAAATTTTTCTTTAATAAAATTTTTCTAGTTAATTAATGAATGACAGAATCAGAATATCACAATTCTGCAACTCTGTGAACTCTAATAAAAAAAATTGAGCTTAGGAATAAACATAAGAAAAGACAGACAACCAAATAGTATATGCTTCCCTATAGAAGTGTACACATCAAGGCGGGGGATTTAGCTCAGTGGTTTCATCGCCTGCTGCACAAGCACAAGGACCCAAGTTCGATCCCCAGTACCAAAAAAAAAAAAGAAGTGTACACATCAGCTTTGAAGTATCTTGTGGGAAAAACTGAACCTGATCCTGATCAAACCTGCAGATATAATTGCCAGTCTATAGGAAATAAAAGGTATGTATGTTAATGACAACATGAGGATGTCCCAGCAAAATCTAGAACTCAGGAGACATAATCAATTGCATTATGACCCTTACTTGGAGCCCAATTTGAACAATTTGAGCAAACCAAGGCTGTCATCCCAACCAAAGTTTCTACTTGCTTGACTTCTGGCAGCCAACTAGCAACTGAGCCCATAGCAATGATCTCAGGGTTTTGAATCAACTACTCATTTTGTATCTCCTCGGCTAGACAATGATCTGTTTGAGCCAGAGGCTGTCTAATTAGGAGGAGCATCACAGTGAGGTGGTTTATAGAGTGTAAGCTCTGAAGCCAGATTCCCTTGGTTCCAATGGTCCACTGACTAGCTATGTCTCTCAGATGAGTTGTTATATCTCAATTGCCTTATCTATAATTGCAAATAATAGTTGTGTTTATCTTGTAGGATTTTGTAAATGCTGAGTATGATACATATGGTTTAGAATCATTCCTGTCATATAGTAAGAGCATAATGAAAGTTGGCTGATGTTACTATTTTGTGGTCTTATGGCTAGTACTGTCAATATTAATCTTCATATATTTTGGGTCAAGCACAGTGATGAATACAGAAGCATTCGATAAATATTGGTAAAAGAAATGAGTCATTAGCATCAACATATCCTCTATTCATCTAGTCTATTTAAATTACCTACCTGCACTTCTTCTTGAAAACTACCTAATGTCTCTGAAAACATTATATCAGACTGGCTCTCTGAAATCAAAACAAGGCCTTGAGTTTTGTCATGAAACTCATCCAAATACATGCAACCATAGAGTGTAGAAAATGGTCAGTTGATATTTTAATCCAAAAAATGTATCATAAAGCTGAATAAATTAAGACACAGAGCTAGAGATTCCGCATACATGAACTGAACAATGCTGTCCCTTTTTCCTTACTCACAGTAGGCACGGAAGGAGTTCCAAGCATTGGGTAGGTATGTGTGTTGTACTGAGGAGCTCTGCTGCTGCTGCTGCTGCTGCTGTTGCTGTTGCTGCTGCTGCTGCTGCTGTTGCTGTTGCTGCTGCTGCTGCTGCTGCAGGGCCTGCCCTTGTGACGAAGAACTGCCTTGAATATGGGAGGGACTGAGCCCTTGTTGCACCTGCTGGGCAGAGGGACTCAAGGGCTGCCCAGCTACCTAGGGGGAAGGAGGATGCAAGGGCAGGAAACTGAGAAATTCCAGTAGATTTAGGACTCACAAATAACATGAAAGAATAAAGCAGACTGATACAAATTATGACTCAAAGTATTGCTGTTAGGGTAATAATATTTAAACAATCAAATTAATGAAATGCAATCATAACTCTGAAATTCTCATTTGTTTCCCAGGATTACCTCTAAGCGTACTCAAAAACTTAACTTCCATGAACTTGTTTGAAACATAAGAGAATGAAAATATAATTGCTTACATTATATAAGGTTTTTAAAAACTGAGAGGTGAACTGACTTGCCAGTGCCACAGGGCTAATTTGCAACACAAATGGAGATAATCCCAGCATCAGTTTCCATTAAACTGCACTGGATAATCCCACTGAGTCTAGGAAAAGCAAGGTACACAGGCAGACATCCTGTGGAAAGGCTTACTCCTCACTGCAGGAGAGGCCTATGCTCCACTGTCTGTCATTCAAAGCTCTCCATAATCCTGCTCCAAGCTACCTTTCCAACTTTCTTTCCAAGCATCATTTCCTATTCCCAGTAGAATCAACTCACAATTTCCTACAAATATTCCACAATTTCCCACCTCCCTCTTTTACCACACTGTGAGCTTCCCGAAACACCAGGTCAAAACTCTGCTCTTTCTTTAAGAGCTAATTCAAGGGCCACATCTTCAAAGATGTTTCTTGATTCCTTGTTACACATATTCTCTCCCTCTTCTGAATTCCCACTTCCCTAGGTATTTCAGTAACAGACTCAACCATACAAACATAATAATACACAGTAATAGTCCATAAAGTCATTGTTCCAATTTAGCAATTGCAATAGGAAGAAAGGTCAATGTTTCTAGGCTATCATGTCACAGTGTTCCACCGGGACAGGAGAATCTAGTAACAACACAGTGCATTGTGTGTCCACAATGAACGACATCACCTCAGCGGTCAGGGATGATGTCTCACTGTTGTGGTCCCTGCTGCCACATGCACTTCTCTGCAGTGTACCTGGGATGACGCCGGGGCAGCTGCAGTGGACTCCGTAACCTGGATGTGCTGCACCTGGATAGCATGCTGTGTGTAGGTCTGAGGGTCATGGAGCTGGCCCACATCTACAGTGGACTGCTGAGACTGGTGAGGGGAAGTGGCCTGGAGGGAGAAAAACAGGTCCAAAAACCAAATATGTATTGATTGAAGTTAAGGGAAATCCTTCCATAGAGAAAGTTCAGTTAAAAGCAATATCCCTAAAATAGCTGTGGTGGCAAATGGCTGTAATCCCAGCACTCTAGGAGGCTGAGCCAAAAGAACTGCAAGATCAAGCCCAACCTGGGCAATTGAGAAATTTAGTGAGACCCTGTCTCTGTCTCAAAATAAAACATTAAAAAGGGCTGCAGATGTAGCTCAGTGTCAGGACCTTACATTAAATTCCCAGTACAAAAAAAAAAAATCCCTGGCCAGCAGAAAGCAATTCCACAAGGCCAAGGAGCCTCAGGTGCTCCCTCACTGCTCTCCTGCCTCCACAGATCCCCAGAGAAGAAAAACTCGAGACCTGCTGGTTACAACAATGTTGGTCACTCCCTTCTCCCCGTGCCTTCCCTCCCAAGCCACTCCTTCATCTCTCAGAAAAGAGTAGAGTTGCTACCACATACACAAAATGGCAAAGTCCAAGGTTTTACTCTCTGACCTATTTATTTATTTATTTATATTTAGTTTGTCACTAGTTACCCACTGAACAGTGGTCCCTAATCTTGTCCATATCACAGACAGCTTTGAAAATCTGGCCAACTGCGGCTCCTTTTTCCAGAGCAATGTGCATATTCATCATGTTCACAGGCCACAGCAGGGCCTCTTAGCTCCCTCCAAAGCCTAAAGCTAAGAACCCTCCCATCAGAAAACAAGACAGCATGAACAACAGTCAGTGAGAGTGACAATTTCCAATTTCTGTAAATTTAAAATCATGTTGCTTTTAGATTTTTTTAGGCAAAATTATTTCAAAGCAACAAGTTTGTTCATTTGTGTCTTGAGTATACTTCTTCACAGCATAATTAAATGGAAGACAGTCCTGGGAGCATTTCTTTTTTTAAGTCCCTAATCAGTAAGAATGAGCTATTCATAACTGGCAAAAGGAACATAGTTATTATACCTCTGTACTAAAAAGTTACTAATATTTAGGAAATAAATTAAAATTATTCTGTATAACCTCTCACTGATATAAGTCATTTGATGCCCAGCTAAGGGTTTATCAAATTGGCTCATCATCAAGTAGATAAGCTGGACACAAAAGGATAAGGATTCAGACCAGGCTCCAAAAGAGGTGCTGTTACTACCTGTGCAATAGCAAAGGACAACTGTAGGCGCTGAAGTCCAGGGAGAAATCCCCTTACACTGCCAAGTACAGAGCCCTCATCAGCCTGGGAAGGGAGCTAGAGGTGGTATTTCACAAATTCCAGACACTCAAACTTCTACTCACAAACTCATTATGTGGAACTCAGCAACAGCTCTGAGACCCGGGTATTTTTTTGGAAGCCTGCAACCATCATGGCTAATGGCATTCACAAAGGTAAGGAGAAAGACGTGTCACACCATACCGGAGCCACCTGCACCACTTGAAGCTGTATATGCTGAGGCTGCTGGAGACCAGACGTGGACTGAGACACAGGGATGTACTGAATCCTCTGGTAGTCCCCTTGTGGTGTTCGGTAGTCGGTTGTTAGGGTCTGAGAGAGCTCTGTCATTGCTTGGGTTAGCAGGTCTGTTGTCTAGAAAAATTACAAAGTATACATTAGTTGGTAATACTACTATATATACCTATGTAGCTACTAAAATTTAATTCATCATGCCAGTGGGTCATGGAACTACAAATTAGCACTGAGTGCCTGCCTCTGACTCAGTGGACCTGCCCTAGAGGTTCTGAAATATTGCAGTACAGAAGCAACATTGAAATTCTCTTGGTATGCCTTTGATAGTTTGGAAAGCACCAACTAGGAGATCAATCACAACCATAATGCTATATGTAGCAAGGTGACGAAAAATGGGCTCCATCTGCAGCCAATCAAATCCCAAGCGTGACAGGGTTTCAGGGTTTAAAGATCTTGTGGGCACTGAAGGGAATGAAACACTCTTCCCAGTCATGCACTCACCACCACAGTCTCTCCGGTAGTGCTGTCTGTGGTTAATACAGCCGGGGTGGCGCTGATCACGGCAGTGGTCAGGGGTGTGTGGATGGTGTTGGGAAGCTGGGCATATTCTGGATGCTTCTTTCGAATGTGTTGGACCATCTTGGTCTGAAAAGTTAAGGCAAGACCAGGAATACTTACTGAAATTAATTATTTTTAATCTTCCAAAGATTAGAAAGTTTTTTATTTTGTGTCTTAATAAAATAAAATCAGGGCTGGGGATGTTGCTCAGTGGTAAGTGTCTGCCTGACATGCACAAGGCCCTGAATTAGATCCCCAGCACTACTAAAAAACTACATAGAAAGATCTGCTGGACAGGGTGGTGCATACCTATACCCTCAGTTACTTGGGAAGCTGAGGCAGGGGGATTGTTTGAGCCCAGGAGTTCAGAGCCAAATTGAGCAATACAGCAAGACCCCATCTCTTAAGTTAATTAACTAAAATTAAATTTAAAAAAAATCAGAACAAATCTGACCCTATCCCTGCATTTCCAGAAGCAACACAACGGTGTACAGTATGTTGGGGGGAGTAAAGTCTCCCCTGATCCACAGCACCTCTGACCCCCAGTAATACCTGTAATAAGCAGTCACAATCCCCCACAGCAAAAATCATCCCTTTTCAGGAATTACTATTTCAGTTCCTGCCATAAAAGGCCAAGGGCAAAGGAGAAGATTCAAGTGCTTGGGCTACTAGATGGCACTCATTCTCAGGAGTCTATCATATTCTCTTCACATTCTTTGCTGTGGTCCCTACTTGCAGGGGCTGGGATACATTCTTTTTTAGTTCCCCATCAATTCAGAAGAAACTGTCCAGCCATTCGGATAAGAAGCCATCTTCCATCCAGACACCCCCTGCATAGAGGTTCTGCTGCAGGCTGTGGTCAGGACCAGGTGCCTTACCTTGCTGCTGTACTGCTTGGAGCAGTGTGGGCAGCAGACAGGTGGGGTAGCGATGGTGCCTGTAAGCTGGGTATGGGTGCTGAGCATGGGGTCTGGCTCTCCAGGGCCTGCAGGACGAAGTTTTCGAATGCTTGGTGGGAGTTCAGCTCCTGGATGGTTCTTCAGAATATGGGCTTTACGCTTGCTGGCACTTTTATAAACCTGCAAGTTCAAATACTGAGCCATGAAACAGTATACGTACAGTTCCACATTCTTGCTTAAGGCAAACTAACAACTTCATTCTAAGGAAATGAGAAAAAATATTGCTGTAGCCAAAAATAAAGGATATTAACCAATTAATTGAAGGATAGTATGGATATAATATAAATTAGAATAAAGTCAGAACATAATACAGATATGCTAAGTATCTCTCTTCACTTTTCTGTATATATCTAAGAGTGTATCTGTAAATGTGCCCTTTCCCTGAAAGTTTAAAAGGGAAACATATATAGAAAGAAAATTATTTCTCAGGCCAGTTCATCCTTTTATTTATCTGTAAAAGCTCTTATATGATGTACATCATTCATTACTAAAAACCAAAAATCTTCCAAGTGGTAAGCTGAATAGCAACTAATGGCTTTAAGAAGAATCTATGTTTAAAAATATGCTTCTTTGGTACTGGGGATCGAACTCGGGACCTTGTGGTTGCAAGGCAGGCGCCAGAACCACTGAGCTAAATCCCTGGTCCTATGCTTCTTACTTTTAAACTGACATTGATATACTTTATAAGGTGGCATTCCTACATGGAAACAATACAGTATTTTCTCTTTTTTGTAACCGCACGAAAGTAAAGAGAATAATACAAATAGAGTACTCTACCACCATAAAACTTTTTCACATCCTGCTCAATCTTCTAGAAACTCCAAATCTACCACATACTTTACAAGTAAAATGATAAACATTCATTTTAGAGCTTAGGAATTTAAAATAAATTCATACACTAGGCTCTTTGGTAATAAGTCTCTCTCTTTTTAAAAAAAAAAACAGAAGTCGAACAGAGAAGGGATAATAAGAAAAAGCCAACAAATTAAGAAGAAGAAAAAATTGCTTAAAATGAGCTGCATTTTTAGTCCCTTCTTGCCTGAATGGAAAACTACTTAGAGGAAGGGAACCATCTGCTCAGAGTAACTGCAGGATCGTGGCCTCATTTACCCACTCAGACACACTGGTTCAGCAGGGTCTCACAGTGGCGAGCTGGCAGGGCTGTGTTGCTTTTACCTTATCACAATACTGACAAAAGTAATCTCGGTTGGGCTTTATGATGGGGAGCGTTAACTCTGGCACCTCTTCTATCTTCATGTCCGGATGCCTCTTTGACAAGTGATTTACCTAAGGTAGGGGAAAAAAATTAACAAATGAGAAGAAGAGACCTCATCACAAACAAATGCCTCTGACAGTGAGTGCTAGAGGTTGAAACTCTCTGAAGCAATGCCCCAAAACAATGAGGCATTTGCCTGGAGCCAGGAGTTAACAGGAATTCGGCAAATACCTGAAGGTAAGTTGGGTCTCAAGGTAGATCCCATCAACATATCTGCCTGAAAGAACTACTATTGGAAAAAAGGAAAATTACACTAGCAGAATTTCTTGGGTGAATTCTCCTGACATAAACTGTCCTTCCTTATTTAGTGCCCTACCCTGACTGAGAACACTGAATGAGATACAAAGTAAGGTTCTGAATTTTAAATATTGTTCTATGACTTCCTAGGTCTTAGAAGAAACATATCCTGCAATTGTAACAAGGTCAAAATAAATTGGGAGCAGTGAACTGGGTGTGTCTGATGTTTTCATTAGCCTGGAAAGCCTTGAGGGAAAGTTTCCTTCTGCTGTTTCCTAACTGAAAGAAAGAATCATAATGGGAGAGAAGACAAAGACTCCACCAGGAAGTATATTCAGGAATACAAAAGAGAGGAAGGAAGTAAAATAGGACAAGAGCAAAAAGACTTAGAAGAGTAAAGAAAAACAAAAGTAGTAACAAAAAAGTGGCAGAGGGCTGGGGTTGTAGCGCAGTTATAGGGAACATCTTAGGATATGCGAGGGCCTGGATTCAATCTCTAGAAACAAAATAAACAAACAAAAACAGTGGAAGGAAGTGATCTCTTTGAAGAGATCAAGGGGTGAAAAATGATAGAGAAAAGCAAAGGTAGATTGGAAAAGACAGGCTCTAAATTGGGGACTATTTGCCTGTTTCTTTCTCTAGCCACTGAGAAAACCTGACACATGTAATTTAGAACAGAAGACAATTCCAAAGCCATCACCATCACCAACAAAAATGAAGTGGGCTAGGGGACAAGAAGCTGCCATCTTGCACTGACCAGCATGCCCCGTCGCCGGAAGCCCATCATACACAGGCGGCACTTGAACGTGAAGCTGTCATAATCTGTGGATGTGATTCGAGGTTTGAAGGTCTTCGAGCGGCTGATGCGGTCGGCTTTCTTGGCCTCCCTCTCAGGGTTATGCATCCTTTGCATGTGTTCTCGTAGTTTGTCTTTCCGCTATTTGGAGAGAATTTTTGAAAAGGGGATAGGAGTGGGAGTAGAATATTTTAACTGAAGGGATATTTTTTAAATCAATACAAATTAGCGGTCACCACAACCCACTGAGAGGCATCTGAGTCACTGGAGTGCTGAGACATATAAGGACATGTCTAGAGGGGCTCGAAATCACTAGTTAGCAAATAGGGGCCTTCCAATGAGCCTGGGTTTAAATATGAATGGTTCTGACTTTTTTTTAGAAGATTCTGCATTTAAGTGGACATGATCCAAAGGTATACAGAATAAACTTGTAATAAGACAAATTGATAATGAGTGACAGGTAATACTGGATTTACAAAGCCATGTGTATTCAATTCCCATACATTAAAACAAACACAATGATATTCTTCAAAATCCCAAATTAACTCAAGAATCTCTCTCAAGTCTCTCATGTCACGGATATGGATGTTTAAGCAATTGTGTTGTCCACTATAGCTGGAGCATGCAGCCTGGGACACAGGTCCTACTTTATTTTTAGTATTATTATTTTCTTTTGTTTTGTTTTGTTTTTACATGGGTTCTCCCTATATTGTCCAGGCTGGTCTAGAAGTCCTAGGATCTAGTGCTACTCTTGCCTTGGCCATCTGAGCAGTTGGGACTGCAAGCATGTGCCACTATGCCCACCTTGGTTCCTACTTTGATGATATAATAATCCATGCTGGTGTGAATCTGTGGAGGGAACACTCAGCAGAACCCATCCTGAATAAAAACAAATTCAAAAGGGGTGTGGCTCAGTAGTACAGTGCTTGCTGGCATGCATGAGGCCCTGGGTTCAATCCCCAAGACCACTGCAAAAAATAAAATAAATTTTAAATGTCAGCTCCCTTATCCAGTGGAGCTCACTGCTCTTAGAAATATCATTAAACTGGTATTAACTTTGTAAAGATTTTTAATCTTTCTACAAGACTAGTTCTTCCATCTTTTGCTACAGAGGCTTTAAGTACTTCATTTTTTAGTACATTTATTCAGCAAATATTCCTGAAGTGCCTACCAAGTAGTAAGAATCAAGACAAGTATAGAGTTCCAGTGTGACACCTCTCACCCACAGGCTTCTTCTACAATAAATACAGCTACTCTTTCTTCCTATCCCACTGGCCTTCATTCCTGGAATGCCCAGGAGAGAATATTCAGAGTTTCTTAGTGTGCAATAAAAATCTGGTTTAAGAATACCACCCTAAATAATAGTATTTTTCATCTATGCAGACATAATTCACTAATTTTCCCCTTCAAACAGACCAATTCACCTTAATCAAATCATTTCCTAAATCTCAAAGCCTAGGATTAATACTGAATCATGCCCTGCATACAGTGACATGTATGTTTGTTAGGATTCCAAATCCCCATAGGCCTTTCCATGCCAGCACCCCAAAACCAGATTCATCATCTCCCCACTCTCACTCCTGTGTGGTAACAAGAGTGTTTCCAGTCACCTAGCCTCCCAAACTATAGACCCTCCACCCTTCAATCTTTTACATAGACTTGAGGTCCTAAGAATTCTCCTTCAGACGTCTGTTTTCAATATGAACCCCTTTCTCCTGCCCATGGCTCTTCCTATGTTTAGGCCCAGCTCCAAAAGGCCTCTGGCTCCCTTTAGCATAAATCTAATTATGTTGCATAGCAAGCTGCCTTAAGCTACCTCTCTGGCTTCATCTGACCACCAGCCCCTTCCCATGCCCCATCCATTCTGCCTCTCATTATTTCCTCCTGAATAAGGCAACCCTTTAGTCCCTGCTGCTCCCTCTGCTTGGGATGTCTTAATCCCTAGGTTGTTCATCTTCTCCCTCTCCAGCTGGGAAATTCCTCTGGCCTTTAGTTAATTCAAGAGTGTCACCTTGGGCTGGGGGTAGCTCTGCAGTAGAGTACTTGCCTAGCACACACAAGGCCCTGGGATCAACCCCCAGCAAAAAAAAAAAAAAAAGTGTCATCTTATTTATGAAGTTGCCCCTATACCCCAAATCAGAGTTAACTGTTCTCTTAGCAAACAATCCTTTCCTCATTATATCAGTAATATGCTGGATGTCTGATTTTCCAATTAGAGTGTGAGTTCCCTAAAGCTAGAATGTTTTTCCTTGTCTTTTATATATGCCATAGAACTTAGCAGGACAGACAACTGCAATTCTAAGTGCTACCATATGATGGAGTCACCAACAAAAGGTCCTGTGGAAATTCACAGGAGAAGCACTTAACCCAAGGACCAAGACATGCCCCAGGTAAAATGACATTAGACAGGTGAAATGATGCAGGAGTCTGGAAGTTCATTTCAAATGAGGGGTGGGGAGGAATGACATCAAATGAAAGGGCCCAAGGAGAGACAGTGCACCGCAGTGAAGTGATCCAAGTGATTCTGTATAGGCAAAGTGCAAAGTGGTAGTGAGAACTGGAGAGGTCATCAGGTGCCAGATTACCTCCCGCGGTGGTGGTGAACCTATGGCACACGTGCCTCAGTGGGCTGTTTGTATCATTGAAAGCTCTAAAAGGTTCGCCATCACTTTCCTATAGTGTCTTCTATGTGATAAGAATTTGGGTATGTGTGAAGAGCTATAAAAAGGTTTTTTAGAAGGGTCATGACATCAGACTTGTTCTCTAGAAAAATCATTCTGGCTATATCTGAAAAACACGCTCTGATGGTATGTCTATTTGGCTAAATCAAACTATGTTTAAATGGAAACCCCTTCCCAGTGTGGTTCCAAAAAGAACAAAGCAGGCACCATGCTGAGCAGCTCGACTGTACCTGTCACTGTGCCATCAGGTATGGAGGTACCAGTGGCTCCCCACTAGTCCTCACTCCCTCCCATGCAGTCACTAGCCTCTCCCTGACTGCTAGCCTGCTGGCCAACTCCAGGCCCACTACCAAGTGCAGCTCCATTGACATACATGGACTCAAGGCGCCTGGGTGCCCAGGACCCTAATAAGCTTTTGTTTGTCTACCTGAACCAGTGCTTCAGAGAGTGCTCTGTGACTTCTTTGATGCCCCAAGTTTTCCCCTTGGATCCTCACTTCTCCATGCCCTTCTATCCTGATGTTCTTAGTTTGATAAGAAAATCCCTCATTCTATAATATTCATAGAAGTTTTGCTTCTCTGACTGAGTTGTGTCTAATGCGTTGGGTGAAAATAAACGGGAAAATGGAAACAAAGTTTGTTGTCGTTTTGACTTTTTAAAATAACATTCCTAGGTGACAAAATGGTATCTGGCATAAAATAATCAAAAAACTGTTGAATGGATAGGCTGGCTGGCAGGTCAAATAGTGAGCATCATAAGAGGGATCTTTTTATATATAAATCCATGTATAGGGCTTCAGGAGTAGGTCAAATATTGGCTACAGCCCTTGCTTGGCATGCACAAAGCCCTGGGTTCAATCCCACCCAAAATAAAGAACAGGAAAAAAACCCCAGATCCATTAACATTTACCCACCCCAGAGTTCTCTATACAGCTCTAAATCATGCTGCTATGTACTGAAAGCCATTGCAATCCTATTCTACAACACATATACCACAAAACTTAAGCTTTGAAAATTACTATTTTTCTTCAATGTCTTCATATTCTGCACAAGTTTTCCCTCATAAGAATCTGCTTCTGATACTTTTCCACTTTCTATGACAGTGAGACCTACAATCTTACTCAGCACAGTGTCCCTCAATGACATTTTTATAGAATCACATGATTTCCCAATTGTGTATATATGACTATTCTCACTTTTATTTAGTTTTTGAGACAGCGTCTCGCTATGTAGATCAGGCTGGCCTCGAACTCACTGTGTAGCCCAGGCTGGCCTCAGACCTACAGGGATCCTCTGGCCTCAGCCTCCCAAGCACTGGGATTGCCACCATGGCCCAGCCTCTCACATCTATTTATGCAATTCTTATCTCTAAGTCTCCTGCAGGCTTTTTTTTTGGCTTCTTCTAAATTCCAGGCAGGTTACTGACACATATTATTTTTTATTTTAATTCTGACATCATTAACAATCTGCAAAGTGGCCTAAACCCTCGCAGAACTCCTCACACTTCCCACCTCTGTCAGGTGAGAGCCTTGCTGCCAGCAGGACTCAATTACAGGCTCTTAGACTTAAGAATTGCTCATAAAAATTGCTTGACTGGAATGGCAAGAAAATGTACTGGTCTCTCAGGAATTCCTCAGTGCAATTAGTTCTGCTAGTCATCATACATTTGGATTCTTGCAGGACATGTATTATTGGTCTATTTGGGGATTTGAATTATTTTGAGAAATTAAGTTTTTCCCTTAATTTTATAACTAAGCCAAACATAAGAGCCAAAGTGCATCCCAATTCCAGTTCTTCCTAAGCAGTGCTAAGCTGATGAAACAAACAGGCATGTGTCCGCAGCCAGACAGAATTCTGATGGGTTGGAGAACCACACCTCAGGCTGTGTACTGGCTTCATACCTTAAACTGCTTCCCGCAGGTAGAACACAGGAAGTCTTTTCGATCCGAATGCCGGAGCATGTGGAGCCGAAGTTTGTCAGGGCGACAGAAGGCCTTGTCACACTCTGTGCACTGGTAGATCTTCTCTGAGTGGAAGCTGCGCACATGCTTTTTTACCTGGCAGTAAAAGACCAGGGGAAAACTCAGGCACTGGGGCACCAGAGGAAATGATCAAAGAAAGGCAGCTGCCAACGCTAGAGGGAGCCAACGCATTACCCTGGATTTTCAAAAAACTAGGCAAGCCATCCAATCAAGTGTGATAATTGGCCTGAATAACAAACTATCTCTGTCACAAAGAAACAACACAAGCAGCCAGAAAGCTTTACAAATCTTAACCTCCCAGGTGACAAAAGAGTGGAAGAATATCTGCTTGATCAAAGCCCAGATCACTTGGTACCCATTATCTTTTTCTTAAAAAAGGCGTCTTTTTAGGGGCCAGGGATGTAGCTCAGTGGCACTGTGCCTGCCTGGCAAATGCAAGGTCCTGAGTCCAATCCCTGGTACCTCAAAAAAAAGGCATTTTTAAAAATTTTAAGATTTATCTTTTAAAAAAGGATTCCAATAAGTTTAAATGAATCTTGCTAAATATTATCCACGGAAAGACAAAAAATAAATTTTCCTCACTTTTTTCTGCCTTCAACATGCATAGAAGCAATTCAGCCCCATGTAATAACTGACGCTTTTATATCTTCCAATAAAATCAGGTTGGGGGAAGCTGGAGAATGTAGCCCAAATAGCAGAGAACTTGCCCAGCATCCAGGAGGTCCTGAGTTTGATCCCCAGCACCAAAAGAAAACAAAACAAAAAGCAGGTTCTGGGGCTGAGGATTTAGCTCAGTGGTGCCACCGCCTGCCTTGCAAGCACAAGGTCCTGAGTTAGATCCCAGATACCAAAAAAAAAAAAAAAACCACGTTCTGAAGAATTAAAGACATGAATCAGACAATATATAAAACATTACCCAATTATGATTATGAGACAATACTGATGTAATTTCTCCTTACTGGGACTATTACTTTTAGATAACCTGAATAAAAGAATATAGCTTCATCCAGTGTTCAATTCCTAGCCACCACCCCCTCAAAGAAAAAGAATATTGCTCTGAACTCTTTTAGCCATAAAAATCCAGTGAAAAAGAACTGTGGAAGGAAGCTAAACAGTAAGTCATATCAATTATTCCTTTAAGATATTTTATTTTAAAAAAAGACATTTTGCTTCATGATTTTTGGATTTTCTTTTACCATTAAATTGTGCCTTAGCAATCTTTCTAATTGTGTGAAGTGAGAAAATTTACAGGATTCGCAATACTGGCAAAAGTATTATTAAATCCTACCTCCTTTTTCTTTGATAATTTATTTTAAAAGTATTTTTACAAGATACTTGATTATTCACTGACTAGCATATAAAATTATTAACACTTAAAATCCAAATGAAATCATGAATATTTGGAATTTAACTTCACTCATTTTGCTCCAACTGACAGCATACAATAGGGGAGGCAGTCAGTGCTCGATACAAAGTGTATTATATACCAACATTTACTTCAAAATGCATGACCTTAATAAAGTCAGACAGAAAACCACAGAGATAGGGAGATGTTTTCAGCCCAGGAAATGGGAGTATGTCTTTTATAGACTCTAAATTTTATGAGTAATGGATACTGACAAGGATTTTGACAGACTTAAAAATTTTAACCAGATGTGGGTATATATTACCTGTACTATAACTTAAATGTTTAAATATCAATACCTGATCTGGACAATTAAGGGGCACAATACTCCTGTCTTTCAAAAGTAATTTTTTTTCTTTCAAAAGAAAAAATACTGTTTCTCGATTATAGAGTTGTTTCAAAGAAGAGTTGAAAATGTAGGTGGCTAGGCAGTTTCAACTTTCCAAAAATCTAAGTTTCTTTTACCAAAAGAAGGAAACAGGAGTCTCAGTAGCAGACACTCACCTGAATAAAATCTGGGAATCGTTTCTTACAAGTTGGACAGGTGAAATAGCCATCATTGATATGAATGGCCACATGATCTTTCAACAAATCAAGGCGGTCAAAGGATTCTGGGCAAAAAATGCAAGAGTAAGTCTTCTGGTCCGAATGGAGCTTCATGTGGCTCTCCAAGGAGGTGCTGCTGATGAAGCCCTTATTACAGAGATCACAGGTCAAAGGGCAGTTCCCCTCCCGCCCATGGAAGCGCAAGTGTTGGTCCAGTTTGTCCTTTTCCCGGAAGGCCTTCCCACACTGCAAACATTTAAAAGGCCGGAAGGACTTCCGAATAAACAGATGCTGAAGAGCTGCATTCTGAAAGACATACACAAATACAGTTCTATAGTGAGGACACAGAGCAAGTGGCTCACACTTCCACAGGGAAAGAGGGTGGACCCTGCAATCAGACTCCCCAGAGAAGTTACACCCTAGGACACACACAGGAAAAGAAGACTCTTCTGGTGAAAAGGCTGAAAATGAAGTCATTCCCAAAGATTATCTTTTTTTTTTTTCTTTGTTTTCTTTTTTTGGTACCAGGGATCGAACTCAGATCCTTGAGCTTGCGCAGCAGGCGGCGAAACCACTGAACTAAATCCCCAGCCCCTCCCAAAGACTATCTTGAAAAGACAAATTATGTGTGTGTTTCATTTTATGTCTATGTATGTGTGGTTTTTTTTGAAAGAATTTAACATTCAAAAAAGTGTTCTCAATAGAAGACTGGGACGAAAAAACAAATCCCAGAGTGAAGTAACATAAAAATTAGTTTTGGAAGAAAGGATGGTAAGTCACACGTGCATGAATGAAGCTGGCCTACATCAGCCAAATATTACTCCCTGAAGTCTTTGATTAAAAGAAAAAGGAGGGCCGGGGATTTAGCTCAGTGAACCCACCGCCTGCCCTGCAAGTGTAAGGACCCGAGTTCGAGCCCCAGTACCAAAAAAAAAGAAAAAGGAATTTGAAGCTTAATTAAAACATTTAGCAAAAAAGGATAATAAAAAGAAGTGAAGTATAGTTAGTCCTTTCCAGGAGTGGGGTTAGAGAAGAAAAGGGAGATGGTGTTTCTTTGAGGGGTAATGAAAATATTCTGGAATTATAATATATTTATATATATACACACATATACATATATACATACTAATGTATTTATAGTGATGAGAGCAGCACAACTTTAGGAGAATTATAAAACCATTTTAAATGGCGATGTGCCTTCATGGCAGAGGGTTTGCCTATCGTATACAAGGCCCTAGATCCAATCCCCAGTAGCACCCACCCCCCAAAAAACTGAAGACTGAATGTTTCACCGTGTGAACTACAGATCTCAATTTAAGAACTGGAAAGGAAATGAAGAATTCAGATGCATGTGAATGTGTTTGTTCATGGGACATGACACATAAGTACATATCATAAACAAAATATACGCATTGCAGCACTTCCTACTTAGAAATTCAGAGGGCAAGTTCCCAAGGCAGCCAGTTAGTTCTGCTGGTTAGAATGCTATGCTGACAAAGTTAAACTTGTTGCTGTTTCCTATCTAGACAACACAATCTTACTTTTTTTTTCAGTCACAGATTGCACTTCTAAGGCTGATCAGCTCTCTTATAAATTCATGCAAGTGTTAGAGGGAATCCAAGTGAGAGAAGATGGATACTCAATGCGAATCATCATGACTACTGGAAAAATAACCCATGCTCCACTGAGAGCAGATTTACAGAATCATCTTTCACACAGAAAATACAGAAATCAATATTCAGTTATGCTATAATGAAGACGCACTCATAAGTTGCTCAAAATACCAAAGGAAAGCTCTAGTTAGCTCTGAGGGGGCTAAAACCCACCAAAAAATGTACCTGAGAATGGGTATGCCTGTGTAACTAGAAAATCATTATGACTGAAGGATTAATGGGGATATTAATACATTATATTTGCAATGAAGAAAGTCCAGCGAACAGCCCTTTAGCTATTAATCACTTAGCAGCAACTTAAATTTAATGTGAAATAATCACTTTGGGGGGAAAAAGAAAATATTCTTTTTTATTTACTGAAAGTTCCATACATAATTCATTTGATATAACAGAGAACTGCTTTCTCAGGCAACAGGGTAGGAGATATATTTTTGATGCTACCTACTTGCTTATCCTGAGTAGGGAAAGAGCAACTCTGATGTCCTCCCAAGTTGACCAGGGGTCACCTGGGGTATGGAGAGGTGGATATCATATTTTATACTCTTTTTTATCTACATCACTTAAAATTGCTTTAAGTGTCCAACAAAATTTTGAAAATTAATAAAATCAGACACAGAGCTTAATTTCACCTCCTCACACTGCTTAGTGGGCACCTAATCTTTTCACTCTAAGTGCACACATACTTATTTTACATAAGAGCTCTTACTATTCTGCCTCTTTTCAAACTATATGGAAAGTCACCAGATAAACAGATGTTATTCTGAGGTTTAAAGATGACTCGAGATTTAGAGCATGCCTGCCATGTCAGGGCCACTCCCTTTCTCCAACTTCAGTTGTGTTTCAAAGGACAGACACAATGCACAACAGTTGATGATGGCCCCATTGAGGATTCCACTTCTCCTCAGGTGCCAAATCCAGACTTCAGCTTTGCTTTGGTTCATTACACAAATCAGTCTTCTGACATTTCTGATTAGCATGAGTACTTTCACACACTTGATTTAAACCGAGCAGCCCACCTGGCTCCATTTCCTTAGTTCTATTGACAAATTGTATCTCTTTAATTTCCATGCAGCCCTGAACGTTGTCTAAGTGCTCAAGAACTAGCCTGTATTTCTCTGAGCTAATGATACTCATTTGATCTTCATATTACAAGATAGTAAAAGTCCTGGATCTGTTCCTACCCCTTGACCCACCTGCAGACCAGTTCTGCTCTAAGGTACCTCCTGTGGTGAAGTCACATCTGGTCCACTCTCTAAGGGGAGTCATAATAAATAGGGTACATGACAGAGGTATCACAGGTCTTTTGCTCCCTGAGCTCCAGTCAGTCAGCCACATACTACATGGTACATCAGCTGCTCTAAGTATGACAATGTGGCAGGACTTCTGGATACTGTGACTTCCACTGCAATGATTCTCTGTTTCTGAAATGTTTCTAAAGCTTTTGATATTCATAGCTAAAGGTACCCATACAATTGACCAGTTTTCATGCTATTTTGATCCCGAGACTAAAAGGAAATAAAACAATCATGCTTCTTTGTTGTTTTTTGCTTGTTAATTTTTAAGAAGCAACTTTTCTTTGTCCTATTTTCTTCCCAGCTTTCAAAACCTTAGGTAGGTTAGCCCTGGCCAACACATCTCATTCTCCTGTCCTTCACTTGCCAACCACAGTAGGGGTAAGCTAGTGTTTGCTCTGTTCCATCACACCAAGCACATTCCTGTGTGTTGAGGCCTCCAATCCTCTGTTCACACTCCCCTGGAATGGTCCACCCTGAAGAGACTGTCTTTCTTTCAAGGATCAGTCTAGAACTCCTTTCGTCCATGAATTACTCCCTGCCTCCTCCACCTTTCTTTGGTCTTTCACTCTTCCAACTTCCTAGGGCAGTGGTGGCAAATCTATGGCATGTGTGCCACAGCAGGCACACAGAGGCCTGCCTCTCTGCTGACATGCAAGCCAAGTTGCACCAGCAGCCAAGCATGGGTAACAGTTGTTTTTTCTAAACTAAAACCTCTGTATTCAGGTTTGATTTCAGTATTGGCATTTGGTGATAAATAAGTGGGTTTTGGGTTGAAGTATGGGCACTCAGTCTCTAAAAGGTTCACCATCACTGTCCTAGAACAATTTATCATGTAACTGTATATAACCCTATGTTAGTATTAACTGTATTCAGACTGTAAGCTCCTAGAGAAAGAGCCCAGTGGAAAGTTGTCTTGGGTACCTAGACAGTGCTTAAGATATAGTTGGAACTCAATACCTTTCCACAAGTCATTCAAATTCTTTTATAGCTGGAAGGGACCTTGGAGATCACTTAGTCCTACCCTTCATTTTGTACAGAGGAATCTTGGACCCACAATTTACTCATGATTTATTTGCAAATAAATTACCACTATTCATTAATTTGCATTTACTGTAGCAACCAAATTGCGGTTTCCACCAGGATTTAGTAAATACAGGTTGCAAAGAATAGCAGGTCAGGCAAACACTTTAATAACATTCTGTTATGTGAAACACAGGAAACAAACCTACCTGCAGCTCCAACTGAGCAGGCAGCATTAGAGGAGAGAAAAATAGTTACATTACCAATTGGATTGGAAGACTTCCTTTCAGTTGGTAATTACTAATCTGGATTTTTTAAAAAGATGAAAAAATATATAGCCCTACATTTTAGAATGTGTGAGAGGAAAAAACAGGACAGCTAAGATGGATTTTTGAAAGCCACATACATGTGGCTTTTGCCTCTGACACAAGAAACCTTGTACAGAAACCACTACCCCAATTCTTTCAAGAGTACAAGTACACTTACAGCTGTACATCCACAACTTCACTACATGTGTGAGCCTTAGTTTTTTTCCATCAAAAAAAGTTTAAATCTAGCAAGCATTTCTCTGGACCTAGTAAAATATGAGAATGGCCAAAGTGGAAAAGATGACAATTATGCAAGAGAAAAAAGTACAGATTGGAAAATGAAGTAGAATGACAGATGGAAAGATATTAATTCATAGTTTTTGCATTTCTAGCCTATAGTTAGTATGTTTACATGTCCTTTTGAAATAATATAGATTGAGCTGAAAGTTGCATGTGTTTAAATTACAGAACCCTCATAAAAGCTGTTTGGACTTAAGAGTTCTCAGAGCCATTCAGAGCTGTCATGTGGCTATGAATGTTTAAATGTGTTTTCACCCTAAGGCATGGACTAGACTATTTTTCAAGGTCCCTTCTAGCCTACAGGCAACTAAGAAGACCGAGAATGGGAGGTGAACCCAAGATCTCTCACTCACAACAAGCAAGACTCCTTTGCAGGGTCCTTATACCCATCACCTATCCCTCTCCCTGATACTGTCTAACTTATCATCTTACATATTAAAAAAAAAAAAAAGACCAAAAGAAACATTAAGCTAAAGTAATCACCCTTCTAGAAACTGTAAAGCCTCGGAAGTTATAAAACTCTCCCATCTACAGGTAAGTCTTTTTACACCCAGCTGCCGAAAACACGGGTTTTATGTCATTGCTTTTTGTCAGCATGAGCACTGCACAAAAACCTATCACTGCACACACGCATCCCCTGCAGTCCCCAACTTGGCCTCAGCGCTGCCTGTGAAATAATACACGAACACACATTTGAAATGGAAGTCATGGAAGCCCTTCAGCTGCATGCTTTAAAGCCAAGACACCAGTCACACATGTGAGATCTTGACTAGCTCCCCAACTTACAGCATTACTTCAAGCTCTCCCCGGGTGTGTGGACTATACCTGCCAACCGACTTGGGCACAGGTCCCTTCATACTAATGGGTACTGACACTTGCCAGTTTCCCCTTAGACCACTGTACATAACCAAATTTAGTTACCCACAATTAACTTGAGAGCTATAATTAGGCCCAGATAAGCCTGCCTTAAAGTACAAATAATTACAGCTGGAGATGTAGCTTAGTGGCAAAGTGCCTTCTAAGTGTACACTAGGCCTTGGGTTCAATCCACAGCATAAATAAATAAATGCTATCATAATTAAGTATATTTATTTCTCCATTTCTAATCTGGGAGCACAGGGATGTGGAGAGCTATCCTATTTTTTTTTCCCTAGTACCAGAGATCGAACTCAGGACCTTGCACTTGTGAGACAGTCGCGGTGCCACTGAGCTAAATCCCCCACCTGAGCTATCCTATTTTAATGATAATCATCCAGGAGCTGCCAAAATCCAGGCTTCTGGATGTTATTACTGCATTAATCAAGCCTAAGACCAGTGTGCCAGCCTGCCACAGGACACAGAGACATCAAGAAATTGTTAATGTTTCTTGCAAAACAAAGGGATTGAGCATGGATAGATGCAAGATTTCCAAGAGGACGGTGAACAGCCTGGAATATTAAGTGCCGAAAAAGCTGGTGAAGGGCAGGAAAGTGACCGGCTGGGGATGGGGGCACGCTTTCCCACTTACTCGGATGCGTTTGGCCCTGCGCATGTCGTCAGCAGTCAAGGTGCTCTGGGTGGGCACCACGCTTTCTTCATGCTGCGGCTGCAAATGCAGGGTGTGAGTTTCTGGTTCATGTTCCAGAGAAGCCTGGGTCTCCTGTGGGAGCAGAGGGACCGGGATGGTGGTCTGCTCCGGTTGGTCCAGGCCATTCAGAGGAGCTGGTTCAGCCTCATCAAACTGCTCCTTTGTTGGAAAATGCAGCAAGTCCTGAAATTTGTAACAACCAGGAATTATTTCCCTACCTAAAGATCAATGTTGAAATGACTATGGGCTCAGATTTAGAATTGTTGCTTTCTAGAAGAAAAATATTCTAAAAGAGATGGGATCTCATGATGTTGCCCAGGCTGATCCTGAACTCCTTAACTCAAGCAATTCTCCCACCTCAATTTCCAGAATAGCTGGGACTACACGTCTGTGGCCCTGTAACTAGCTATTCTTATTTTTAAGTGACTAGATCCATAATGCTCAGGGAAAAAAATTCTCCTTCTGGAAAAGTTAACTAGGGAAATAGACACAAGATGCAAAACCCATGAGATATTCCAGATCACCGAACAAGGAGAGGACTGGGTACCACACTTCTGGAATACTAGTAATTTTAATGGTTTAAAGTAATTCAACCAAATCCCTCTCTAATATCTCTGGTCAATGTCAAATCTTTAAGGCAGCAGAGCTGAGTTTTTGTTGTAAGTAACATTTGGAAATGCATTCTTTTTGGCCTTTCTCCAGTCACACTTAGATTAACAGACAGCCAAGCTGTGAGGTGACAGGACCGCACACGTGTATTCATTCATACTGAGACTAACATGGGCTCTGGGAAGTTCTTGGAACAAGCATCTAGAAGGAGCTCTTTCCCATTCCCCCAGTACCTGTGTCCCGTCGTCACTCTTTTCCCCATTTTCACTGGTTATTTCCAAGCGGATAAACTTTGGAGGACGCCCTGGCCGTCGACCTGGGCCAAATCGCCTCTTGCCTCGGCCCCTTCCTCTGCCTCTTGTCCTGGGGACAAGAGATTTCATAGGAACAGTCACAATTACATCACATGTCATCACCCTTCCCTAACTGGCCCTTATTAACTCCAGTTTTTTGATTCCTTTCATTTTATTACTTCCCCTGATTCTTTTCTCTAATGCAAACAACTGTTTACTGAATTTCTCGTTTGCTCTCTCTACATCCCAAAGAGATGCCTCATAACTATTCTGAAATTTTAAAAAGAGCTATAAACATACAAAGCACAGATGATATTTTGCTTCTGAAAGGGAGTGAGAAGTGAAGGCAGGACTGAACATGCTAAGCCTACAGGATGTTTGCGGAGGTGTCACCTCAGACACGATCCCATTCTTTCTCTCTTTTCCCCTTTCCTGAGCTCATATTCCTTCCAAGAAATGTGGCTGAATTCAAAGAACTTTCTTATTTTACCATGACCTCTAGAAGGTCAGAAAACTAACTCAATAATGTGCCTAGTGAACAAGTAAATCTTATCCCCTTTAATGAATTTCTAAAATACAAAATTTCCTTATTAAAAGAGACTTTGAGGGCCAGGGATGAAGCTCAGTGGTGCCACACCTGCCTGGCAAGCACAAGGTCCTGAATTCGATCCCTGGTAACAGAAAAAATAAATAAATAAATAAAAATAAAAGATTTTGAAGCTGGATGTGGTGGATTACACTTATAATCCCAGCTCCTAGGGAGGTAAAGGAGGAGGATTGTGGGTTCAAAACCAGCTGAGGCCACTTAGTGAGACCTGGCCCCAAAATAAAATTTTTAAAAAGAGAGATTGACATCATGAAGGTGTGAAGTGTGTAATATTAGCCAGATCATGTTTTACTTTTCCATGCACCTATTTAACAAATAAATATTTTTTCAGGAACTATTTTCGTGTTTGTTTCTGAGATGGGGCTTGCTATGTAAACCCCAGCTGGTCTTCAACTCCTGAGCTCAAGGGATCCTCCTGTCTCAGCCTCCTAAGTAGCCAAATTACAAGCATATGTTACTGCACCTGGCTTCTGGGAACTTTTAAAATATTCTTTACAATGGAAAATTCTGAACATAGGCAAGTATAGAGAACAATACTAATGAGCACAAGGTACCTATGACCCTTAACAATCAACCCATGGTGACATATGGAGTATATTCCATCTATCCCCCACCACTTCCTCACACATATTCATCCCAGACAGCCTTTCATCTGCAAACATCTCAGTATGTATCTCTAAATCACAAAGACTGTCGCTGGGGATTTAGCTCAGTGGTTTCGCTGCCTGCTGCTCAAGCGCAAGGACCCAAGTTCGATCCCCAGTACCAAAAAAAAAAAAAAAAGTAAGACACAAAGACTGTTAATATGTGTATGTATATAACATCACAATTCTATGGCCACACCTAAAAATACCCGATAGATCCTCAGTATTATTATACTATCTAGTCAAAATTTAAATTTGCCTAATTGTCTCAAATTTCTTTTTGGGGCGGGGTACCAGGGGTCAAACTTGGGACCCTGCGCTTGCAAGGCAGGCAGCGGCACCACTGAGCTACATCCCTGGCCCTCAAATTTCTTTTTAAACAGGTGGCTTAAAAAGATGTCATCTACTATGTGTCATATACTGTGCTAGGCACTAAAGATATAAAAAGTGATAAAGGCAGGAGACATATAAACCCAAAGTCACAGAAAAATGTTTTAGGGATGCTCAGGAGTGACTGAAGTCTCATCGTGTCCCCAGCCCCCAACACTTAATCTAGTGGTCATATCATAGACTTGCTGTGCTAAATAAACCCTCTAACCCCTGACTGTGCATGGCCCACTCCGATACTATCTCCTTGCTCTCCATTCATGCCCTTTAGTACCCTGATCCAACATCCCTCAACCTAAGCAGCATCTCCACTCCAGTGCTTCCTTCTTCCTCAGCATGTACTCCAGGGTCATTCACTAATCACTCCCTCAAATTTGCTCTCAACTCCCACCCGTGCTGCTGCTTCTTTATCTCACTGTGTTGAATACACTTGGCAGAACCACAACCCTGCGTAATTCAATTCCCTGCCTGGGCCTACCATTTCCCTCACCCTTGCTCACTTTCATTTCATGATGAGAAACCTCAAGTGGGCACTTACGCAGGTAACTGTATGGTATTTCCCTCAAACTGTCTCTTTCCTGCTTTCCTACATGTTACAGTTTGACTTTTTTTTCTTTTTTTTTTGACAGAGAGTCTCACTAAGTAGCTAAAGCTAGAGTTGAATTTATGCTCCTTCTGCCTCAGCCTCTCAGAGTGCTGGGATTGCAGGTGAGTGCCTCAACACCCAGCCAGTTCAGCTCTTAAATGTCCCCCAAAGGCACATATGCTGAAGGCCAGGTCCCCAGCTGGTGGTGTTACTGGGAAATGGAAACTCGAGGAGGTGAGGACTAGTGGGGAGAAGTAGGTCACTGCGAGCATGCCTTCAAAGGTCTGCCCAGACCCTGACCTCTCCTGCTCCTTCCAGTGAGCAGCCTCCTCCACCATATGCTCCTGCTGCCATCATGTTCTGCTTCACCACAGGTTTAAAAGTAACGTAATCAGCTGAACATGGACTGAAACATCTGAAACCAAAAGCCCAAACAAACCTTTCCTCCTTTTAAATTTTTTCTTCCGGTATCTTGTCAGTGCCAGATAGCTGATTAACATACCTGTCTTCCCAATTCCTGTAAGTAGACAACCTTACATTTGTCTTATAGGCACCACCCTATTGCAAACAGCCCTCCTTCTTCATCTGAACTGTTGCCTATCTTCTAACTGGGTCCCATGTTTCACTTTACACCAATGTAAACAAACCTGTTGTTTTCATTTTTATCCAGAGCAATCCTTCAAAAATGCAATTGATATCACAAAAGTAATTAGTCAAAATCCTGTAAACACTTCCTCTCACATTTAGAATAAAATTCAAACTTCAGGGTTGGGGATTTGGCTCAGTGGTTCCATTCCATCCCAATAGCAAAACAAACAAACAAACAAACAAACAAAAACTTCTTACCACCACCCTGACCTACCCTGCCTACCCGATCCTATACAATTCTTCCCTCATCCATCTTTCATGTATCATGGATCATATGATCTGGTTTGACAAAGGAACTGTACTGCTGGGAACTGTGTAAATCAGAGCTGCAGATTTCAAGAGTATATGCTATCTCAAAGATTTTCAGAATCCCTAGTTAAGGGAGACTTAACTAAGGTAAAATTAGTCCCTCTCAGCAGTCTACCTGGTTTCATGCCAGTCTAAACACACACACACACACACACACACACACACACACATTTATTCTTTTATAGAGACACAGAAATGATTCTGAACCCTTAGGAACTTGTTTATGAGCCCTTCTCCCGAATACACACCTGCTAAACACATCCAGTTTCTCATCATGAGAATTGAGATGCTGTTGCAACTGTTCCGAGCTTATAAACCGGCGATTACACTCATAGCAGGGCCAATTCTTCTCTTGCTCACGAAGAACTACATATATAAGAGAGAACTCATAAAGGCTGATGATCAACAGACACCAGTGAAATTCAGATGCTCACTATTGACACCATTATCTCACTGCGAACAGGATCTGCTATTTACATTACTTTTTTATTATAAAATCAAAGGCTAAAATTTGACAGAAAGGTGGTTTTTAGGATCTTATTTTCTAAAACAGTCATGCAAGGCACCATCAAAGGAACAACACCCTTACACTACTCTCTCTCGTCCTGAAATATACACACACAAACCTTACCAAACTATAAAGACAAGAAATCCTGCACAGACCTAGTGGTTTAGATCCAAATTTCATTGCTTAAAGTTATATTAAATCACAAATAACTTAAAAGTCAATGTGCAATATAATCATGTTAGCAAAATATTTAGAAATGTCACCTAAGGTGAAATATATGCATATCCTATGACCTGACAACTCCACTTCCAGATGTGCATGAAACAGAAGGATGCACCAGCATTCATTAAAAGACATGTATAAGAATGGTCACAGTGGCACTCTTAAAAATGGCAAAAGCTGCAAATGACCCTGTTACAATAAGAATCTGGCTGGCCCTTTTCCCTGGGTCATGGGAAGTAACCTATGTATCTGTGGAATTTCCTGAGAGACAGAAGTGTCTGCTACTCATGAGCCCCTCATCCTACCAACCTTTACTATGAAGTGCTGACTTAGCATAGGGAATGGCCACACCAGAAAGCCCAGCTCTCTGATTAGAAGCCAGATGTTTCAACTGGGTAATGCCAACTTCCAAGACAGGAGACATTAAGTTTAATCCTATGGCCAGTGATTCAATCAATCATGCCAATATAGTGATACCTCAATTAAAAACTCTGAACACTGAAGCTTGGGTGTTTATGGTTGATAATGATACATCAATGTGCCAGGAAGATGGTACCTACTAAAGACACAGAACCTTAATCTTGGGGCCCTCCCAGACCTCACCCTATGTGTTTCTTCATTTGGCTGATCCTGATGTATATCCTTGTAATAAAACTGGAATCATTAAGTAAAGTGCCTTCCTCGTCATACGAGTCATTCTACAGAATTATCAAATGTGAGCAAGTACTGGGAGCCCTCTAAATCATAGCTAATTGATCAGGAGTGCAGGTGACTTGGGAATCATAGATCTTATCCCTGGTGTCTGAAGTGTCTGTAAAATCTGATTTGACTTGGGGTAGTTACTAATATAATTGCACTGTACAACCAAATTTACAGTAGAACAGATGAACTGTTACACATTCAGACAACAGAATAGCAAACAGCAATGAGCGTGAACAAATTATAATTATATATAACAACATAATGTTGAGCAAAAAATGCCCAGACACAAAAAGTATACATATCGTACCATTCTATTATGTGTGCTGTTGGGTGTCAGGAGAGTAACTACACTTGGGAATTTACACAGGTGTGATCACTGTATACTTAATCTATGCACCTTCCTGTATGGAGATTACACTTCAGTAACCTTTACATTAAAAGCAAAGTCAATGTCTGCCTTGCTGTGTCCTCAGAGATGACTAAGGCCAGATAGGGATCATCCTCTGATCTAGGTTCTAATTTGTTATTTGGAGGTTTTCATTATATTAAATACTATTTTCTAGCACCCATGAAAGAAATGTAAATATATCATTGTAATTTGATCTCAGAATTGGGGTACAGATGGGTATCTCTAAGAAACCTACTGAAATAGCGTCTAAAATACATTAAAATGAAAAAATTAAGAGATTCCCTAGTGATGTAATATACACCACTTAGATGTAAAATAAACAATTTAGAAAATGTACAATGTAGAAGTCCAACCACCTTTCCTTTCTTCCTCAGAAATGTCATGAATTTTCTGGTTCACGAACTCAGCATAGGACGCAGCATACCACACCTGCAAGAACCAAGGACATCATCAAGAACTAAGGGATATCGCCAGATGTGCTTTGCATGCTTAAATTATTTCTCCTGCTTACAGGAAACAATCTGGCTTTCCCATTGCCCATTCAGAAAAAGAAAAAGAAAATCCACACTGTGAGCCTCCCCTTGTAATATGTATCTGGTAAGTTTTCTGTCAGGAAGTCCTTTTGTCATGACACAACTACCTGTTTTCTTTTTCCTTTAAAAAAAACTTTTTTGGCAGGGCATATGGTGGATGCCTAAAACTCCAGCACTTGGAAGGCTGAGGCATGAGGATTCCCACAAGTTTGAGGCCAGCTTGGGCTACATAATTCGATCAAGACTAGCCTGAACTACATAGTGAGACACTCTCTCAAAAAAACAACTCCACAAGAATTATATTCAGTCTCTTCATAGGTTTTAATCACAGCAGCTGCACTGGACAGCTCACTCTGGGACCACCAAGGGGACTATGTTAAATGCTCCCACACTCTCCTGGGACTCTCCTGCCCTCCCTCCTACCCCACTGGCTGCTGCTGTTCACTCTTCCTCTATCTAACTTCAAATAATGGTGTTCCTCAAAGCTTAGTCAAAGTCCTGGGCCTTTTAATTTTTCCTTCTGGTGATCAGATCCATTTCCAACCCTTTGTTAATGCCTCCCACATGAGTAACTCAGCCCCTGCTGACCTGATATCTGAGTATCTCAACAGCTCATCCTTAACTGGAATTCCTGATGTCGCTCAAATCACACTTCTCACATCTGCCTGTCTCTTTCTCAATTATTGCCCTACCTTCCGCCCAGGTGCTTAGACCTGAAATCTAAAAGGTAGGTCTCCATCTAGTCCTACAATCTTTTCGCAAGGACTGCACTTGCTCAGGCATTCTCTGACTTGGGTTGAGCCACCTGGATGCATGCCCACACCATCTCTTGCTGCATTACACCTGGGGACTGAACCCAGGGCCTTCATATTGAGCTACATCCTTAGCATCTTTTAATTTTTTGAGACAGGGTCTTGCTGAGTCACTAAGTTGCCAGCTTGAGCTTAGCTCACAATCCCGCTGCCTCAGCCTTCTACAGAGCTGGGATTACAGAATGTGCCACCACACCCAGCTCCACCTGGCCTTCTAGCTAGCTTCCCCTTTACCCTGCAGTCCACACGGCAACCAGGGCGGGACTCTTTTCTTTTTTTTAATTTAATTTTATTTTATTGGTACATTTTACATATACAGTATAATGACATTCAGCATTGGAAATTTGCACCTTTACATAATCTTATTTTTCACCCTTGCCCAGCCCTCCCTTCAAACCCCTCCATTCCTATTTACAAAGACTTTGTTTCCTTTTTTTCATTTTCTCATATTAATTCCATTCCCTTCTTTCCTTTCCCCTACCCCTCCCACTTCCCCTTCCCCTTCCCCTTT